CGTGGGGCTTGAATTCTTGTCTGTTAATTCACTCCTTCATTTTAAGATGCTATTAGCAGCACTGCTCCTCCTGAAGACACATCCATGTTGTAGCAGTTGGAAATTTAGCGCTTGTCTACACTTAGGACACTGCAGCCGCACTGCTGTAGCGCTTCTGTGAAGACTCTACCTATGCCTCTGGGAAAGGTTCTTCTGTCGGTGTCAGTACGGCACCTCCCCAAGAGGTGGTAGCTAGGTTGACAGGAGAATTTTCCCATCGAATCACCACAGTTTATGCTGATGATTAGGTTGGTTTAACTGCATTGTTCTGGGCTGTGAATTTTTCACACCCCTGAGCAATGTAGTTCTACCAACCTAATAGCCTAGTATGGACCAGGCCTCTCTCACAGTAGAAAAATTACTCACTGCTCACAACAGGTGTCAAATAGGGTGACCAGATGTCCCAGTTTTATAGGGACAGTCCTGATATTTGGGGTTTTGTCTTGTATAGGCATCAATTATCCCCATTCTGATTTTTTTACATTTGCGGTCTGGTCACTCTAGTGTCAAAGGAGTGAACGGATGCTGGCCAAACTGATCCCTAAAATCCATGGAGTTACAACAGGGATAAGCATGGCATTTTAACATGGCTGAGGTTAAAACCTGCAGCAGTAGGTAATTTTTCTAGTCTAGGCCAGGCTTAATAGTTGGGTGTCTCTCCCTTCTGTATCACTACTGCCTGCTTGCTGAAGCATGCCAGTTCTGTAGTGGACATCCTCACACCAGACCTTGAACAACACTTCTGTGCTCCTAGTCCCTCTTGCATTCATGTGAAAGGGGTCCTTTCCAAAGCTAATGCACCCAGAGTGTGCCTGTTCACATCCTCTGGGGAGTTATCAGCGCCGTATAGTTGTAACCTTTTTAATCTTAAGTAAAAACTCCTTCAAAAGGACTGCTGAGGCCAAAAGAAGCATGCTAGCCCAGCTCTTAAATGAGTTATTTTCTCCTACTTCACAGACTAAATCACACAAGGTTAAAATAAGCCTAAGGTTAGTACTGCTGTACCTATCTAGCTATGGCCGCTAAGACCTGGCCTACACTAGGAAATGAGGTCGGTATAACTCAGGGCCGGCTCCAGGCACCAGCCCAGCAAGCAGGTGCTTGGGGCGGCCAAGGGGAAGGGGTGGCACGTCGGGCTGTTCGGCGGCTATTCGGTGGCGGGTCCCTCTCAGAGGGAAGCACCTGCCGCCGAAGAAGAAAGCGGCGTGGTGGAGCTGCCGCTGGAGTGCCGCTGATCACAATTGCGATCGTGGCTTTCTTCCCCCCCACCTCCCGGCCGCTTCGGGCGGCAAAAACCCTGGAGCCGGTCCTGGTATAACTACACAGCTCAGGAGTGTGAAAAATTCACAACCCCTGAGAAACAGTTAAACCGACCTAACCCCTGGTGTAGACAGCACTAGGGTCAACAGGAAAATTCTCCCATCAACCTGATTACCACCTACCAGGGAGGTGAAGAACCTCTCCTGTCAGGGTAGGTAGTCATCGCTGAAGTGCTACAGCAGCGCAGCATTTTAAGTGTAGGCAAGCCCTAAGTTTTACAACGCTACTTCTGGAGACAGGTGCATTGGGTTATCTAGGCTCCTTACTTACATTTAGTTTGTTAATGGAGGGTTCAAAGG